TAGAAAAAGAACAAAGAGTTTTCTCTCGTCTCATATTGAAATATCAAATTCATCAAAGGTTCATCTAAAATGCTTGCCAAGCACCCCTATTTATAGTAGAGGGGGCCGAAAATTCTCCTAACAATTAGGAGAAGAGTTTGATCTCTAACTCTATTCCTACTTTAAAAAACTAGAAATCAAGTTAACCTCTAATTGACAACTTGTGTCTTATCTATTAAGGCAATGTATCTAGACACCTTTATAGACTTAAGACACACTAGTCTAATGAAAATAAAACTCCAAATACAAAGAGATATTCTCTCAAAAGAATCTTATCCTTATCTTGAAAAGAATCTTCCTGAGTTGTCAACTCTACCAATATCTTCTTTGTAGAGTAATCATAGGCATCCAATCTTGATCTAATCTTCATCCAACGGTAGAGAGTAGACACCAATGAATAGACTTCTTGTATTGAATAAAGTCTAAATTAGATAAAAGAGAATCATATCAAATCTTATCCTTCCATGTGATAAGATTTAAATGATCTTATCTCTAAAAGATAGAGAATCTTCCCATTCTTATCCTTCCACAAGTGTGATAAGATTAAATGATTTTATCCCTAAAAGATAGAGATTCCAACTCCTAAAAATTTGGATATAGAGCCGTCCTCCCTTGCTTGGTTTGTGGGCTGAAATTTCCTTCCTCAAATGGGCCTTGTAACACATTAATAATCTTGGGCTTGTAACTTCCAGACTTGGACATTCTCTTGGGCTAAACCATTTGATATAAGATTATTAAGTGAACTCTTCATCCTTTTACTTCTAGCTCGAGTCATTGGGCCTCCAATGTTGGATAATGGATCTTGAGCCACTCCTTGAGCTTGGGCAGTACTTGGAACCCGAACACCTTGATCATCTTGGACTTGATTACCATGGATGTTCACATCAGAAACTAAACGAGTCAAGCATCGGGCTTGGTTGGATAGCTAGTTACCTTGGCTAGAGTTATGATGCTCATGAGTCATCCAGAGTTGGTACCAAGGGAGACATAAGGGAAAGAGTTATAAAGAGTTAATGTTTGGCTAAATGCCAAGAGTTGTGATCTGACTTGGGTTCACCGTCTACTGTGCCAGATAGGCTTGAGATGGTCCCTTCTCTTGCTCCCTGTATCCACCCTATTGTTATTTAATAATGCTAAGTGTTTTGATTGTATACACGTTTTATTATTTTTATGTGAAATTGTTTTACAAGTGAATAATGTTTTCTTTAAAACTATTTTGTTAAAATTATTGTAGTAGTAGTGAGAACCTCATCGAGCTCGGCGCTCACCCCCTATATATCTATATTTTTCCCCCTTCCCCTCCCAGGAACACGTTAAGGGATATGCTGCTATCGAAGGAACAATGTTCTCAGGAGACTTGTGTAGGCTTGAGATGGTCTATACCTTTGCTTGAGTTTAGAATACAAAGTAGGTTGAATAATGTTGTTGTTAAGAGCTTGTCCTCTAATATTATGTAGAGGTAACTTTTAGCAAAATAAGTTAATGTACCAGTTGAAGTTGAGTGTTATCCTCCTTTTAAGAAAAGTTCAGTTTTATTTTTTTAACTCAACAGAGAGGTCAGGATGTAGTTCAGGTTCCAACTAGCTCAAAAAAACTCAAGGGATATACCCAAGATGTAAATTTTTAAGCTAGCCAGTGCTATATAGTATAATGCAACCAAGGGGTCTAAAAGTTCAGTTTCATTTAATCTTCTGTTGTGCAATTAAGTGTTAGTGCGCCTTAGGCGTGAGCCTGACGGACATCCCGGTGTTGCTAGCCTGACTTGTCTTTCACGTTGGCTTTTGAGAAAAAAAAAATTTAGTCAGAAACAGGATGGTGAAACCCCGGGGTGTTACAACTGCAACTGAAGAGTTGCATGTGCATCATAAGTAACAAAAGGTTGAATATACTATTTTACATTCTGGGTTTTGGAAACCAAATTGGATTCATAAAAGTACATTGTTTTACATGGTATTTACAAGTTCTAAATATGAAATAGTCGAAGGATGACTTTGCTGCACGTGGTTGATTTAAAGCGGAGAAAGGTAACCATTTAACATTAGAAGCTGTTTTTTCTCGGGTTTACCATGGATGAATTCCATGACGGGTATTAGCAATTTTTTTTAATGTAGGTGGTAAAGTTTTTGGCAAGTACTCATAAAATTGATTATTAAGATGGTGCAAATTTTTTCAACTACAAAAATGCAAAAACTATATTTTATTTGAAGTTGATTCCAAGTTTTATTAATAAAAATTCAGGAAATACAAACATTTGCTGATGAAAACCTCGTTTCTGCTGCAAAGAAAATAACATTGTCAGGTTATGAGCCTTTAGATTTATGTTGCATCTATATAGATTGGCTAAATTTATCATAATTTTGAATTTGAATAATTATAACTGTGTTAAGTGTTAACCAAAAAAAAATTGGAAGTTGGAAATTTAGGTTGTTCTAGATTAAAGTGTCAACGGTATTGAAAATTTAATTTTTAATAGCGTAAAGGCTAAATCGATCAAGATCGGCAAATTAAGATCCCCAAATGTTAAATTCAATATAGTTGATGCCATTAAGTGTTACGATCTATCATCTTCTCAATCTAAATTGACCTTATCGTTTTTAATATTGCCTTTTTGAATCCCTTTTTCTAATTTTTGTTTGCTTGAATTAATGGCGCATCCCACTGATTTGAGCAATTCGTGTTGCAATAGAAACTGATTTGAGCAATTCCTTTGTAGCGTTTCTTTTTAATATGTATATGGCTATCTCTGTAGAGAACATATCTCCTTAGCTATAATTCAATGCAATTAACATAAGACCATAATGCATATCTCTTTAGCTATAAGTCAATGTAATTAACATAAGACCATAATGCAACACTTATCAATTTGGAACTCTTTTTTTTTTTTACTCAATTCATCTATTATGTACAAGTACAACGTACACTGTTGCATAATGACCTTTTCCATTTTTAGTTTTAGGAAAAGACTATTACTTAGTTACTCTTGAACAAGGTGCATGATGCTATGGTGATTAGTACTTTTGTGACTATGATGTAGATTATTTTATCTTTCATCACATATGTTTAAACATTAACTTTATGATCTTAAACAATTCTATACGGGGACAAACAATATAGAAGCCAAGTAAGGATCGTTATCGCAATCAAACCAAATGGGTCTTTTAAGGGGTGCCTGGTTCAGCAGTCAGGATATGATAATTTTTAATGGAATATGATAACCATATATAGTGCATGGTAAGTGAAATCTGGAATGGGAAAAACAGAGAGAAAATGTCCTTTTTATCCCTAAGAAGCACCCATTTTGCAGGTCGCTTCCTCGGCTCCTCCGCCCTCAAATCTTATCAAACAGAAACAAAATTTTATCCCCTCCTCCGCCCTCAAATCTGATCGAAAGGGAAATGAAAATTTTCATCAACGGAGACAAGTGTATAGTTAAGCCACCAACAAAGACTTTTCCAACAAAGTTTTACTATTTTCCAATATTCTTGATTTGTCCTACTCTTCAAATTCAACCGATCGATTGAGACTTGAAATTTTAGATCTAGTGCAAGGGAGTTGAAATTAAGCTCAGTCAAGATAATCGAGAGAGGAGACAGAAAGTGAGGACCAGAGGGCTAGAAGAATTTGATTTTTCTGGGCATGAAGTTCCATGGATTCAGAAATATTACATCCTTGTGTTATAGTTAGAGATGGTAGAGATGGACAATTTCCATGTGAAAGACCGAGAGAGAAAGGGTTAGAAAAGAGGAAAAAGTGGAAGTCTTCTTTTTTTTTTTTTTTTTTTGTGCATATCCACTTAATTCAAGGGGAATGAGGCTATGGGTTTGAATGACAATTTTCTGAGGTCTTTGACATTCCTAATTTTGTAACCAAGCAAGAGAAATGGGATTCAAAGCCAATATCTCATTCCAAACCCACCCAAACCCACGAACCAGGCACCTCTTTAACCTCTTACAAAGAAAGCTTAAGGAGCATGGAATTCCCCGTGGTATTTGCAAAACAAGGCAATTTAAAATCACATATCCCTTTTGCAAATTCAAGCATTGACAATTCGACATGGTTATACGTTCTTACAGGAGTCATCATGAGTCAGAATCAAAAGGATTTAAGTTTGTATGGATTGCCAACTTCATACTTCAAATGAGATGGTCACTTATTTTTAGTAGAGGCACACAAATTTTTTTACCTCTAAAATATTAGTATTACTTTAGTGTTTTTTAAGTGCATTGAGGTTTCTAATTTTGTTCAAAATAAAAATAAAGGATTTATACTTTGTATGTACATGTATATGTATTTTATGATGTAGTCATTAATTATTATTACTTCCCCATTCATTTCATCTATTTATCTTTTTTATAAATAGAAACAATAAATATTAGTCCATTTCGTACACGTGTGAATGCGCGGGTCAATAACCTAGTTTGTTATAGTAGCTTATTCCCCCCCCCCCACCCCGGAACCATTCTTGAGAAACGGATCCCAATTTTTTTATTTCTTTTTCTTTTTTTCTTTTTTCTTGCTCGGGGTGAAAAATAAAAATGGCCCCAAAAAAACTGGGGATCATTTTAACTTTTGGGAAAGAAAAGGGATTGTATTGTCACTGAAATCAAACTTAAAGGACTCAACTTTTTATTGGAGTAATATTTGAAGCAGTCAATGAAAGTGTGTCACTATTATCAGTTTCCATATAGAGCCGTATAAAAACAAAATTTGGCGACTTCATCATCTTCCAACTAACAAACGAAAGCTTCTAATTTCACAAATGAAAGCTTCTAAGGGACCAGCCGATGATCTCATTCAGCAACAACCGGAGATCGAATGCTGTGGATAGATAATTCATCTCAGTAGCTTCAAAATTCGATTAGAATCAAAATCAAAACAAAAAACGGGCGATTTTGATTTAGGAAGCGAGTAAAGAGATTTCTGGGACCTAGGGTGATTTAGGGTGTTGGGAATTGAATTTCATGTTTGGAACAGAAACCCAGAAAGTGATAAAAAGAAGAGGAAAGATGAAGATGAGTAGCAGGAGAATATGTTACGGGGAAGTGGTGCCATTTGTGGTGATGTCATTGCTGCAGTGTGGTCAAGTGTTGATGAACATATTGTTCAAGAAAGCTTCCACGGAAGGAATGAACTACATGGCCTACGTCTTCTACTCTTATGCCATTGGCGGCCTCGTTCTCCTTCCCTTCTCCTTTGTTTTCGAAAGGTTTTAATTCTCCCCTATTTCTCTTCTCTATATTTACTTCATATATGTTATTGCAGCTATGTTAATCGGTGCAGAGGTTAATGTAATTCGATGGTAATCTGCAGGAAGAAGCTGCCGCGTTTCAATTGGCAGATCGTTGGCAGACTTATCCTTCTTGGGTTTCTCGGGTATGCATTTTTTAATACCACATCTTTAATCAATTAGAGTGTTTTTGTTTCTTTAGATTTTTTATGTGTACTGAGAATGAAGAAAGGGATTGATAGTAGTATATGTTGTTTGATTGGGAGCTTGAAATAAGATTGTTGAGGTGATAGTTGAATTTCTGATGTCATGCACACCCTTGGAAATCAACATGTTGGTGGGTTCATTTGGATATTAAGAATTCTTGTTTTCTGGTAGCTACTCAGGACAGGTGCTGGGATTTAAGGGAATTCAGTACAGCTCTCCTACTATGGCTTCCGCTATGAGCAACCTGACACCTGCATTTACCTTCGCGCTTGCTGTACTATTCAGGTTGTTGTCTACCCTCATATAATGTTCTTATATTCCTGCTGTTGCTGTTGTTGTTATTGTTATTGTTTATTCATTTGGTTAAAGTGGTTGTTTTGTGCCCTTGATGTCAAGAAAAAAGAGGGGATATCATGGTAGATACTGGGTACTATAGTCCCCCATAAATTCAAGCCGAATTTAGTTGACATATGACTAAATGGGGAAGAAGGGGGTTGGAAGATGTTGAATATCATAAATCATGATGCACATTATGTTGGGAAGAAAGAGTAGTTGAAAAGAACAGAAATCAATGATTATGAAAATTCCACAGAATAAGAAATTAGAGTGCCCAATCGTATTTTATTTCTTCACGGGTTAAATTGCAGTAGCTGTAAGGATAATATTTTCCATGGGAAAAGGCCTCAAAGTGTAACCTGATCGAGATTTTCATGTGGCTGATCCAGAGGAATTTGTCCCAATTCAATCGCCAGTGACACTATTAAACATGTGTTTACGTTTTGGTACTTCAATGAACCCAGCGGCCAACATACCCAACCCCCAAAAAAAAGAAATAAATAAAAATAAAAAGAAATTTCATGTGGCTGATCCAGAGGAATTTGTCCCAATTCGATCGCCAGTGGCACTAATAAGCATCAAACTTTTGTGTTTATGTTTTGGTACTTCAATGAACCCAACAATGCTTGTACCTTACTGGATAGGATATGGTTTTAGGTATGAAGCCACTTGAAATTGCTTGGCCTTTGCAGTCATTCCTAACCAGTCACTATTGACAAAGCATAATTGGCTAGATGCCGCCAACTCTTTTCCTAACTATTAGAGATGAGCGGACATGTCCCACTATCAAAATCATTTCTTGTGAAACCCTTCCATCTAACTTTTCGTAATAGGGAGTTTAATGTGTTTGTGTAACTTTACGGGTCTTTGTTTTCACTTGACCACTATAATATGTTCAAACTTACCCAGCAACCTATTTGCATGAAAATCATTGACAAATTTATCACCCCTCTAACAGCTAGATTTCGTTTCGAAATGCCTTTTGTATTAAGTTTATCTCAGTTGGATGCACTGTAAAACACTATATACAGAATACCTCATTTAGTTACACCAAAGAGCATTCTCATGTCATTTCTTCAAGTTCCATGAATAGATATACAGAATTCTCTCTTTGTTGCTGTCAAACCAATTTTTTTAGAGTAAAAGATAGATACTTCAGTCTTGCAACAATTGTCTGGTTTTTTTAATTTAAATATTTCTAAGTTTGTACCCAACATTTTCTTGAAGATTTCCTTTGACGAAAGAGATATTGCAGATATCATTTGAGCATCCTTGTTAATTCTTGGCCTCCTGTTTTAGTGAAACCATTTCATCGAAGTCCAGCTTTAATTATACATGATTCTAAGTCCTTCGCTGGATTCAAAAGATTCACAAATTAGTCAAGGAAGATTTCTTTCATAATCTAGTGAAATTTCCATCTTTAGAATTGGTGTTATTATTCATCTAGTTTAAATAACCATGCTCTACTACCAAATTTAGGATGTTTTACTTGTTATTCAGATACTTAATTCTTTTAAAAGTTTTATTACATTGACCCTGACAATATCTGGAAACGATTTAAAAAGTAGAAGAGAAAAACAAACGTCCCTTAACTTAATTTTCTATTTTTGTTCATTATTTATCTGGTTTAAAGTATTTCATATGCTAATCTTTTGGTCATTTCCCGTTTCTTTATAAGGATGGAGACAGTGGAAATAAGAAGCTTAAGCAGTTGGGCCAAAATTCTGGGCACTCTACTTTCAATTGGAGGAGCACTGGTGGTGGTCTTGTTTGAAGGGCCGGTACTGGCCAGGGGCCACCAAGGGTATGCTACATCATATCAGCATCTAAATTCTGCCCATACCGATTGGGTTATCGGTGGCCTCCTCCTCATGGGGAACTATGTGTTTTGCTCTCTTTGGTACATTGTTCAGGTATCTTGTAATCTTGGTTACGTGCAATTTGTTTCTCACGTAGCTGCATATTCATAAGAAGTCCAACCTTTTTGTGACCATCAACTTGTCAATTTCAGACGCAAGCTGTCCAGACATTCCCAGAGATGCTTTTAGTGTCTCTGTTCAATGTATGCGTGGCTGTTATTGCGGCACCAGTTACATTGATTTCAGAACCACATGATGCATGGCAAATAAGTTCTAAAATGATGTTATATGCAATACTATACACTGTAAGTTCAAACCAAGATGGGCTTGGTCGCTCTATTTAATTAGGTATGAAATGTTCTGTTGTGGTTATCGACTGTTTACCTGTATGTGCTCAGGGACTATTTGGAATTTCCTTCGCCACATCCCTTCTCACCTGGGGTCTGCATCTAAAAGGACCCGTATATGTTGCTTTGTTTACCCCATTGTCTATTGTCATTGCAGCAATCATGAGTGTTATATTCCTTGGCGATTCACTATATCTTGGCAGGTATATGCATTTTGAATCTTCCTTCATAAATGCACTTTGACAATGACTTTTCTTCAAAAGTTCATTTCTATAACTCTCCTTGGTGACCTAATTCTTAAGAATGTCTAACTTGCAGTGTGATTGGAGCAATTATAATATCACTAGGATTTTATCTTTGCATATGGGGAAAAGCAAAGGAAGAGCTGATAGATGAATCCTTAAATTTGGAAGCTGAATCTGCAAGCACTCCTCTGTTATTGTAGAATCTAAAATTGCAAGTTGAGGAAACGAACATCACCGTACAGACTCTACTCTTTATATCCTTTTGCACGTAGATAGATTTTGTATAGCAGTATATAGGCCAAAAATGTTTGATGTAACCACAATGTCTTTCTTATTCAGTACAAGGAAAAAGAAAAGAGTAAACTGCTCAAATGGTCCTTTACATTTAGCAAAGGTTTATTTTGGTCATTTATATTAATAATTCACTGGTTTGGTCCTTTATATATGTATTTAATGTTAACTAGATGTTTGGCCCAGGCAGATGCCCGGGCGCCCCTTCTAAATTACTATTTTATTAAAATCTAATTGAATTACTATTTTTTGAGGAATTAATTTGGCGTATATATCATTTATGCTATGGTTTGGGGCTTAAAAAAATATACTTATAAATCTGAGGTTATAAGGGAATAATAAATAATTAGTTTATAAGGCATTATTCTTAGTTGCTGGATTTATGCATTTTTATTTTTTGTTTATATTAAGCCTACAAAACTATACGATTGGACATTTGAATTTGAATTAATATATCCATTCGTTTGAAATGTAACTGATCCTTATTTGTAGTAAAACATGTGTTTTTTTTTTAAAAAAAATTATATAGCTTCTAATTAAAAGAGGCTTACACGTGACAAAACTCCTGAAATCTGAAATATGGTGCATTGGAGCCAAAACAGATGCATGCATAATTGCCACATAAGCTTCATGTCTTCTGCTTTAATAGAGTAAAAGGGATTTAGTCATTTTTACTTTTTTTGGCCCTTTACATTTGGGGTTCTCGGGTTGATCCTTTTTTCGTCAGGGGTATCGTTTTTTTTTTTTTTTTGGGTAAAACAGGGGTATCTTTGATAACTTTTAATTTTAAAATTTCTAAAAATATACTAAAAAACCAAAAATTGATTAAAATAATGTTAAACATAATATGTTAATTCTATAATTAATTGTTAAAAAATAAAAAATTTTAAAATTCAAAATTCAAAATTAATTTTTTGAAAATCCGAGTAATTATTTTTTATCTTATGGCTCCACACGTGATTTGTTCTTTACCCTTAGTTTGTAATTCAAAATGCAAATGATTCCTTCATTATTCTTTTATCGCCAAAATAGCCAGTATTAGATAAGTAGTAGTGTGGAAGAATGCATCATGACAATTTGTCCTTCTCATGTTGTAAAGGGGATAATGATGTTAATTGCAGATTCAGGAGATAGTGACTACTGGAAAGCTGTCAAAGTTGGAGCACTTTGAGACGGATGAGAAGGTATCCTAAGGTCTGGTCAATAGACATTTTTTATTTATTGATATTAGTGTCTGATCATGTAACAAGTGTTACTCGTACTATCTCGGGAATTAGTTGTGAGAAATGGATATTATTTATGAGAAATGAGCATCACATTAATTGCTTTGAATTTACCTTGCAATGGGATTTTATGATTGTTTCTCAGTGTAATATTCTTTTTTTCTAATAATCTGCAATGTAATAAGATAGATGATCCATGTGATTATCTGTGATTGTTTGAATCCAAATGTTATATTCTTTCAAATTGAGGAACTGGATAGATGTCTACATTCAGATCAAGCAGAAACCTGTCAGGTTTCTCAATGCTTCTTTCTCATAAATGTGCAGGTTAAGACAATTAGTTTATTTGGAGAAGTGTGGGGAATTGGTCCAGCCACTGCGTTGAAGCTCTATGTCAAAGGACACCGGAATTTGGATGACCTGAAAAATGAAGAGTCATTGACGCATTCACAAAGAGTGGGATAGATTACTTTGATTATATCAATACAAGGATTCCACGGCAAGAGGAAAGTAGTCCCATTAACACCCAGCTTTTCTCTTTTGTGGTTAGGTGACTTCTAAATCATGTTTGATATGCTTGAGGCTATTCCAATCGAGCAGGTCGTAGAGATAACGTCTACTTATAAAAGCTGAAGAAGACATTTTGCCAGGGCTAAGAGTTAAATCTAGTTCTCTTCTTTTCCCTTATATAATGAACTAACTTCCTAAAATTCATAGATCTTTGTTTCTTTTGTTTGATAACCATTTTCTGTTTTCGTTATCGGTGATGATTCAGAAATTAGGGTTGGATTGCAATCTTTTGCACTATCATTTGGTGTTATTTCTTATTACTCACTTTAAGCTTGATCTATAGGTTGTCATTGTTTGCGGAGGATCTTATAGGCGGGGAAAGTCATCTTGTAGGGATTTAGATGTTGTAATTACCCATCCTGATGGCAAAAGGTGTTTCTCTACTGTGTCCACTCTCTTTGTGAATTGACATCTCCCTTCAGTTTGCCCATGAAATGTAGAAAGGGAAAAGAAAATAATAGGAGTTATATCGTAGTGAAAAGAAGCTTGCCAGGTATATAAATGTCTGAGAGCTGAATGCATCTGAGGGTTTTGTCCTTTTCTTCCCTTTTGCAAATGCAAATTGCGGCCTAAGTTTTCTCATAAGCAAGTATCATAACATCAGTATAAAATGCTGTGATTCTCTTTTCATGGTTGCAATTTCTGGAAAGAAAATAACAGTTCCTTTTTGTTTCAGTCATATAGGTTTTCTCTCAAAGTATGTGAAGCTTCTGAAGGAGATGAGGTTCTTGAGAGAGGATTTGATCTTCAGTGTTCACAGTGAAAAGGACTCTCAAACAAGGAGCCTTTTGCTTTTAGTCATCTATTAGAGTAGATTTTTTGTGCAGTTTCTCTCTATACCGATGGCAGGATTGCTTGGCTAAAATTTAGAAAATGGTTTGCCGTCATTTACTCAGAGTTTTATTTGTCCACATGGCCCTTTTAATTGGTTTCTGTTCATCAGCTTTTTAGTGATTGTTATTTCCATGTGTACAGGGTACAGATTCAGGGGTAGACACTTATTTTGGCCTTTGCACTTCTCCTGGAAAAGAGTTGAGACATCGTATAGATTTTAAGGTACCTTGGTCTTCATTCAATGTTCAACTAAAGTGTAATCTTCCTCTTCCACACTATATATCTTGAAAATGTGTGAGGTGCCCTTCTGTTGATTCAGATCTTACTTTTCAACAGGCGGAAATAGAATATGTTTGTTTTGGAACATCCGTTAATTGGTGTTTATTTCTTTATGGCTCACATGATCCCAATCAATGTGGGATAACTATATTCTTTCTTAAGAGGTCTCGGTCCTGCTATGCTTTAGGAAGATACATGTTGAGTTTAATATTTCTCATCAACTCAACAGATTAAGCCCTCTGCAGCACCTATCAGAGTTTATAGTGAAGAAAGAAAATCATTGGCTGGTTCTGCTTATTGTCTTGCAATTATAGTTGCCTCTGTTTTCTGAATTTTACCTCAGCTGGTGCTTTTGTAGGTGTATCCAAGGGATATATATGCATTTGGCCTGATAGCTTGGACAGGAAATGAGGTCCTAAATAGAAGGTTTGTTCCTTATTAACACTCTAGAATCACTTTTCTTGTCAGCATATCTTTAAGTGAACAAAGAGGGATGACTATATGTGAGGGACTTTATTGGATGCTGATGTTAGTCAAGTGGCCATGTTAAGGCAGACAATCTCATTGGCATCCTTCTATTTTGTTTCCTTCTCCTGAGTAATCCCTTTTCCTGTCTTTCTTAGTAATAAAATGAAATTTAAGCATGACTTGTGCTACTGCAGGTTGAGACTCCTAGCAGAGTCCAAGGGCTTCCAGTTGGATGATACGGGGTTGTTTCCTGCTACCCACGGCTCTGGTGGTAAACGGCTACGATTTGTCACAGGACTATGCTGCTGCATCCCGCAACTTGTTTCCTTCAACTTATCTTGGCTTTCTATTTTTTATCCAGGGTAAAGGTAGTGCATGTCTGAAATTTCAAACAGAAAAAAGAAGTCTTTGATTTCCTTGGCTTTTCTTGGCTTGAACCACATGAAAGGAATCTATGAAAAACAGTTAGCCCTGCAAATAGCCCTTTTAGTTGAGCCGATGGACTCAATATACTCCTATTCAGCGAGAGATGTACAGGGCAATTGGCACCCAAGCCTCTGTATGGAATGCGTATATCTAGCGCAAAGATCCCACCCAGAAAGTTATGCATAGAAGCTAAGACGCTAAGTCAGACAAAGACAATGGCGTTCGATTTGGAGTGACCCAGCAGTCATGAGCTCTTTTAGAAGCTTTGCTCAGGTTTTGTGTACATGTAAATAAGAACAGGTGTATATAAGCCATTAGGGATCTTTCCCTCCTGGAAATGTTGTAGCATATATCAGTTGTGCATTCGTTTCCCTTGTTTAGATCGCCCTTCTGCTCTAGGCTTATCACCTTCTTGATCACTAGGAGAATTTAATTCCAGCCAAAACATCTACATTGATCCGGCTTCATTATTTCAAGCTGAATTGTATAGATATGCATGGATAGATTCGTATTATAATGAATTTGAGATGATCCATGGCACTTCACGATTGCCTTTGTTAAAAAATTTAGACATAAATCGGAGCTAAATGCAGATTTCAATTCCATAGAACACCAAATGTATAAAAGATTCAATGCCTTTATCACTTGGATCGTTGGTCTTTTTTTCTTTTTTTCTTTTTTTTTTCCCCTTTTTCCCTTATTTCTGCTTTGTTTAATGCATGCGAAAGTGTTTAGGTTAGTTGTGTGGTCGAAGATTTTTCTAGTTCTGTCTCGTTTCTTTCATATGAAACTCCACTTTTTCTACCTGGCTCAAACTGAGAATTTTCTGTACGCGTGAATATTGTCTTCATTAAATTTGGGAAATTATGAAAAGACCATTTTGAAAAATCTGATGGGGACTGATTTTTAGTGATTTGATCTGATTAATAGGAGCAACCACTACTTTATTATGTTGATTTTTTTTATAAAAAAAATTCCGCTAACTGTGCTTGATTTTTCCTCAGGCTGTCAGTCTCCTAGCGAGCTTGCAGTTTTATTTATTTATTTATTATTTTTGTGAGAAAGAAGGCAAAACACCCAACAAAAAGTAAATGGCCTATTCTGTTGATAGGGGACGCCGGCAATGTCATTCTCTAACCACGGCTTCACCCCAGACGTGGATCCTCCAACTAATGCAAACTAGAGGACAACTAGCAGGTGAGGATATATGCTAAATAATCCGTTCCAATCATCATCAATACTGAGACATTCGTCGTCTGAAATATCATCCTCAACAGCAAAGATAGTCTCATCAATTTGCTCAACTTGTTCAGAATATATAGACTCTATGTATGTATCATCGAGTGAAGATTTAGAAATCTGGAAAATCTGGGATACCATCCGGGCTGATTTTTCTTTCTCATTGGGACAATCTTTGCAAAATAGCCCTTCTACTTGAAGTATCATCATCCGAGTATACAATGAAATAAATCTTCTGAGATTCAAAACTGATATAAATGCAACAAGTAAAGAATAAGTAGGAGATCTTTTGCCTTTTTGGTCTTTATTGAGTTTGATGATATGTTAATATAAGGGATGGATTACAAGAATCTGGGTCAGTACAGAGTGTGATAAATGTGTGTTTAATTCACGACAGATAAGATCCGATTGCATTGTAACTTTATTATGTATTTAATTCTATTTCTTCATTAATCCTGAATCACCAGCACAAATACAATTCAGAATGAGCAAAACACCTCTTTATCAAAACAACATGGGTTATAGGATTGTTTTGGTTGTGGTGATTTCATGATTAAGGCAGTATGCAAAGCAAGAAGTATTGTTAATGAACGTTGCCACCCTGATGATCTGAAGGCCCTGGAGGATTTCAAAGTCAGGATTACTTATGACGATTCAAACCGGCTGAAGACGTGGAAAGGAGTGAATTGCAGCAAATGGAAAGGCATTTCTCGTGACAATATAACTGGTAGAGTCACGGAGATTTATCTCCCCGGCCCGATGACCATAGGTGGCGGTCCATTTCAGGCAAGGATGGTAGGCAAGTTACCGCCTTCCTTACACCTTCTCAGCTCGCTTAGAGTGCTTTATTTGTTTTCCCTGTCTGGACTCAGTGGACAGATTCCTCTGCTCATAGGAAACCTGAAAGAGCTTCGAGTTTTGGAGCTCTCTTGGAACAACTTTAGTGGTCCAATACCAGAAAGCATTGGTAATCTATTGAAACTTGAAGAAATGCACCTTGGTTTTAACCATTTCTCTGGTCCTTTTCCTTCAAGCATCGGAAATCTCACTAAACTTAAATCCCTAGATCTTAACAGAAACAACATTTCTGGCCCAATTCCTGAGTCTATTGGAAATCTCACAAGCCTTACTAGCCTAGATCTTAGGTCAAACCAAATTTCTGGTCGAATTCCTGGGTCCATTGATGAAAACTTGATCAATTTGGAGACCATGTTTCTAGGAAGTAATGTTATCACAAGGCCTCTTCCAGAGAACATTGGCAACATGCAAAAGCTTGTAGATGTTGATCTGTCGAACAACAAATTACAGGGCCCAATCCCCGATTCAATAGGCAACCTGAAATCGCTGAAACGTATCCTACTGAGTTCCAATCTTCTCACCGGAATCATACCTTTGTCCTTTGGTAACTTGCAATCACTTAGTGTATTGACACTTGGTAATAATCAGCTTGAAGGCGCTATCCCTTCCAGTTTTGGGAATATGTCTTCATTATCAATTTTGGAGCTAGGTGGGAACAAGTTGGCTGGTACAATACCGAGCTCTTTCGGCTGCCTAGCAAATCTTGTGGATCTAAGTATTGATCATAACATGATTGATGGACCAGTGCCGGCATCTTTCAGAAACTTGACAAACCTTGCTAGATTGGATTTGAGTTACAACCAGATCAACTCTGTTCTGCCTGAACCATTAGCAAAGATTCGGTATTTGTCTGCGCTGATGCTGCAGAATAATCAGTTCACGGGTACAATACCTCAGACATTCTTGAATCTGAAGAATCTTGGAGAGTTGAGTCTCTCAAATAATCTTCTTTCAGGTCGAATTCCTTTCGGGAAGCCGCTGATTGATTTTCCTCGGAGCTCTTATTCAGGGAACAAGGGATTATGCGGCGTACCTCTTGAACCTTGTACTGGTAGTTCTTAGTTAGCTTATTATCCTGAGCCTGAATTTATGGAGAACTCATTTGATATATAAGAAAAAAAAAAGTGTTCCAGTCTTCTGTATTTTAGCAATTTTTGAACTTTTTGTCAGAAGAAAATCGTATGAGCTTTGATTAGTCATGATAAATATGAAAGAAAAAATAGCCCAAAAAGTTGAAAAAAATAGGCCAGAATTTGGTCTTGGATATACGAAAATTCACCCCTAGATGCATCACCAGCTTGGTGGTAATTAGGTGTATATAAGCAGTCGATCCAATCTTCCTCAAAAAACTGCAGCCCTTTGATCTCACTCCTCCGATAATAACAACGCTTACAACCCTAAATTGTTGCGTCCCCAAATTCGCAATCATGTGTTCTTCGAGCCAAACATGAAATTCAAGCATGAGGCTAGAAATCGTGCATGTTGGGAGGCAACTAGGGATCTGGAAGGTGCATGTTTGATGAGGCCAGAGATTGCTTCAAGAGGGGGAGGGGGGAGGTTCATTGTCGAGATCCTAACTAATCTTGGCAAAGTGCAAAAGGGGGCCCTATCAAGTTGGAGCCAACAGATGCAGGTTCCCTGCGGCCTTGCTTGTTGTGACTGGTATCACCACATGTTTGGCCGCGAATGGAAGAAGAATTTAGTGCCAATGCGTACTTTCGTGCCTGAATATTGTTTAGAGTATTGACAGCTCTTGATGATTATATTGATAGTCTATATTGACTTGGCCAATCTATTACCTTTCTACTAAAAAGCTTTTTACAGTGAAAATTTTGGGGATATTCATGGATATGCCAAGCATTTCGAACTGCAGTTTCATACTTTCCAGGACAATCGGATATGGAAACCAAGAGGAACTAGGGTACTGATTTTGGAATGATGAATATTGTCTGTTCCCATCTAACTTTGATAGACACCATTGCGTCATGCTTAATTGAATTTTTCCATCTTAGCTGATGCATAAGTACATTGATAGCTTGATAGGGACCATTGCATCAAATGTTTTCGTCCAAAAGGAAGGTTGTTGTGGTGCCATTCATCTCTGGTACCTTTCAAAAGAAAACTAACTCGTAGAACGAAGTGATTCGTTAACATGAACCCTTTCAGGAAAAAGGGCAAAACTACATAAACTTAGAATGCAAAATATCACAATTCACAGTATAGTCCCTTCGTCCTGTGGCTGTCTTTCTGAGATTTTCTCCACTTGAATAAATCATGCCTCGATCTGATATTTCATTAACGCTTCAAGAATAAGTCTCGTCCATTATAACAGCAAATCATATAGGAGTACAATCAAATAGTCCATGAAAGTCGGGGAAGTTGAAATCTATATAATTCGCAATGATTTAACCTCGAAAAGAAACAACAGTGGTATTAACTTTGTCACTAACTTCCTTGAAAATGCTGCCCAATAGACTCTATAGAAACCGAATATAATAAACTGTTCAGATTAGTAAATGGTTTATCTCCCAAGTTGCAAGCATGAAATTAAATAAAAGGAATGAATAATGGTGAATTTGAAGTATTTCATGCTAATCTTTTGGTCATTTCCCATTTCTTTACAAGGATGGAGACGGTGGAAATAAGAAGCTTAAGCAGTTGGGCCAAAATTCTGGGCACTCTACTTTCAATTGGAGGAGCACTGGTGGTGGTCTTATTTGAAGGCTCGGTACTGGCCAGGAGCCACCAAGGGTATGCTACATCATTTTAGCATCTAAATTCTGCCCATACCGATTGGGTTATCGGTGGCCTCCTCCTCATGGGGAACTATGTGTTTTGCTCTCTTTGGTACATTGTTCAGGTACCTTCTAATCTTGGTTACATGCAATTTGTTTCTCACGTAGCTGCATATTCATAAGAAGTCCAACATTTTTGTGACTCATCAACTTGTCAATTTCATACGCAAGCTGTCCAGACATTCCTAGAGATGCTTTTAGGGTCTCTGTTCAATGTTTGCGTGGCTTTTTATCGCGGCACCAGTTACATTGATTTCAAAACCACATGATGCGTGGCAAATAAGTTCTAAAATGATGGTATATGCAATACTATACACTGTAAGTTCAAACCAAGATGGGCTTGGTCGCTCTATTTGATTAGGAAAGAAATGTTGTCTGTTGTGGTTATTGACTATTTACCTGTATGCGCTCAGGGACTATTTGGAATTTCATTCGCCACACCCCTTCTCACCTGGGGTCTGCATTAAAAGGACCCATATATGTTGCTTTGTTTACCCCATTGTCTATTGTCATTGCAACAATCATGAGTGTTATATTTCTTGGCGATTCACTGTATCTTGGCAAGTATATGCATTTTGAATCTTCCTTCATAAATGCACTTTGACAATGAATTTTCTTCAAAAGTTCTGTGTAAGACCGTGCTTCTGTTCATTTCTATTTCCTTCCTTGGTAACCTAATTCTTAATTATGTCTAATTTGCAGTGTGATTGGAGCAATTATAATATCGCTAGGATTTTATTTTTGCATATGGGGAAAATCAAAGGAAGAGCTGATAGATGAATCCTTAAATTTGGAAGCTGAATCTACGAGCACTCCTCTTGACGATACCTGGAATTGTACTGTCGTTCTAACGATGGAACTCTAGTTAGGGTTTCCTGCAAAACAGAGCCTCAGGGGCCTCCCGAGGGTAGACACTCCGAAACTTAAGTAAAAAAATAGGGTTGCGTGCGTATATTGATTGGTAACTAAGATAGCGTACCTCAATTGTAGAACTTGTATCCCTATTTATAGGCAAGTAGATACAATCAGGGAACCGAATTCTTCTAGGGTTTAGACACATTACCGCCCTATTGAAGTCGGTCGGACCCCTTACACGGTTCTTGGGCCGGTCCAATACCGGGGGTGGATATGGACTCATCAAGTGCCCCTGTCAAGTATTAGTTATATGAAATAAACAAGACTTGACAAAATATAAATCTAACCTGAACTTGGCCCAAGTTGATTGCATAGCCAACAGCCCAAACGGCCCAAAGTGCCTTAAGCAGGTTTGTTGGCTTAACTCGCGGGTCAAGACCCGACCCGAGAATGCAATCCGCTTCAAAATCCCGCCCAAATCCTGGCAGGCGTGCCCCATCAGTACGCACGATTCCCAAACGACGGCCGAACAATCATAATTACTTCTTAAATTTCGCCCGAAATGTCAGGTCGTGGGAGAGAGAAAGGAAAAGATTTTGTTTTTCTTTTTTATATTGGGAAAGGACTGGAGACTGGCCAATCATCTCTTTTTCAAACTCGCAACCACAAACTACATCCAACCCTTCTACCCCAGCGCATCGAGCCCTGCTATCAAGGACAGAAATTCTCCATCCTCGCCGAAAACCCATCACCGGGAAAGCATTATTTCAACGCCGTACATCAAACTCCGACAGAAGTAAGTCTCCCAATCCTCTTGTATGTTTAATACCCCCATGTGTCTTTTGCTTTGTCTGAATCTTGTTAGATTTGCGTATATATTGGGGTAGATATGGCCGCTCAGACAATATCTGGGTATGCATCAACCATAAACTCTGAAGCAAAGGCTAAAGAACTCGCCAAGCAATATAACTTCCCGTAGATCTAGATTATCGAGTACCACTGGATTATGAATGGGTTGACACTCCACCAGAGGAGAAAATTACTAGATTCATGTTTCTAGGGTTAAGATTCCCCCTTTTCCCTCTGTTTGGTAAAATAGTTCAGCACTATAAAATTCCACTTGCTCGATTCACCCCAAATTTAGTCACAGCGGTCCTTGGTTTCACGAGACTCTGCGAATTGCAGAACATCACGTCTCGACTAATAGTGTGGAGGTACTTCTTTAAAGTCTACGTTCCCTCGACTAAGTACAAAGAATGGTATAATGTAAAAACCAACATAACGTCGAAAGCAGATCACATAGTAGAACTCTTCGATGGTTCCCCAGTATGGAAACCAAACTACATATTTGTGGAAGCACCAAAAGAGTTTTGCGTGGCGTGGGATTACCGTGAAACCCATGAACTAGGTATCATAGCGGATACTTGGACCAGCGCTGATAAACAGAAAATCGAGAAGTACAGAGCCGATATTAACGCTCTGGAATCTTTGAGATGATTCTCAGCTACACCAAAGTCCAACAATACATTCCCCATGTCCGCGTCGAGGAGAAAAAAGGTACTAACTCATTATGTGCATTTTCTTTGTTTTAGGTCATGTCATCGAGCAAAGATACCGTTGGATTGTTTGGTGACGTCAAGATTTTTGAAATTAAAAATTCAGATGATGAGGGGTCGTCGAACAAAGTTACCAAGAAGAGGTTAAGACTTGTCACGGCGTCTGACGCGGGCGCAAAGTCCAAGAAGAAGAAGCCGCCCACCATCGAGGAGATGGAAAAGCCTATCGAGGAGGAAGCCCCGATCGAGAAGGAGGGGAGAATTGACGACGCAGCTGATCCTTCAAGAACTACCCCCTCTATTGCCAAGGAAACAGAGGGGAACCCAATTCCCGAGGACCCAATTCCCAAGGCCATCCCTGTAACAGAGCGGAATCCAGAGTGGTTCAGACCACTCGAGGCTTCACTGGAGAAGAAGAACACTGTCGAAGACACCGATGGGTCGTCGACATACACTGCTGCCACCACCATATATCATTTTGGGGATACTAGGATCGAGTGTCCCATTATTAAGGAAGTTGCAGCGACCTTGAGAGAAGAGGAGTCGCTGAAAATGGTAAGATCTATCAATCTGTAAGTTCATTTACTCTTGAGTTCCTGCGATATTTTGGCTGAAATCTTTCATGTATTCTTTGCAGTTGACTACCGCGATGGCCAGCATTCTTATGCGAGAGAAGACATTAAAACAAGAGATTGCCAGTTTGCAACTCGAAAAGGGGCTCCTCGAGCAAGAAAAGTTAGCGAATGCAGAGTCGAGAAAGGAGGAGCAGCCATGAGGCTTGCTAGGGAGGAAGAGTTAGCCACGGTTCAGGCCATGTATAGGGAGATCGAGGCCAAGCTAACAGAATATAGAGAGTCCCACATTCCCAAATCGGATTTGCAAGGATGGTTGACTGCCTTTTGGGCGAGAATGATGCCGACTGGTGGATTGGCGAGCATCCTGGTGGGCATTAGCAATGATGCCAAGGCGCTGGGGGGACATGGTGTAGCTGTGGCCGCTCTCGAGAGGATGGAGAGCGGAAGGACTATCAATGTTGGATGGCTTCAGCAATTCATTAGGCCGCATCCCAAGAAGACTCTCCATAAGGCCATAAAAAATGGATTGCAGCAGCTCTCTGATGGTCAACATCCTCTATTTGGGCCATTATGCAATGCCGTCGCTCAGATGGGCTCACCTACAGAGATTGCTTCTTTTGAAGGAGATGCCCTTACAGTGCTCACAGTTGATGCTGGAGAAGAGGTACGTGTGCCGGGGCTGGCCCCGGATTTCATCGGTGTGGATGTGGAATGGGAAGAAGATTCCTTGGAGCAAGTCGAGGGGGACGGGCAGAATGACCAGGTGCCTGAAAATGAGGGGACGTCGACTCCCACCCCTTTAGAGGAGACAACGAAAGCCAGCCAAGCCAGCCTCCTGGTCAAAATGACGTATGAACTTTCTTCTTGTAATAGGATTTTTGCCGCTAAGGTTGTAGACCTTAGCTTGCTGTAGTGATTCTTGAACAATTTTTGACGATTATGAATTAGATCAGTGCCTCTTTTCCTCTAACATTTGATATACTTCTGCCCATTATGTTAGGATTCGTATTTCGTTCATCTAGTACGTCTATTGATCCTCGAGGAAGACGAGGTCACGAGGCTCCCCATGTATACGATGGTTTCTTCGATGTTGAGGAAATTCGGGGATGTTCAGAACACTGACATAGTGAAAGCCCTCGAGAAAGAGCTTACCAATGCTGTCAATGCACTCAACCTTCGAGCGCACTCCTGCTTAGTGCAGCGCTTTAGACAAAAAGAGGAAAAGTGGAAGCGTCGACTCCACCAGTATGACTTGGACTTTCACAGTTCCTTGTCTTTAGAAGCCAACATTAATGAGGAAATGGAGAAGCTGAAGAAAGAAAATGCTCGACTGAGGAAGCGCGAGAATATTGTAGTGTCCCCATGGTTCCTCGAAAAGTTCGACACGCTTGCTCTAGTCAAGGCACAGATAAAGGTTCGCACAGAACGCTTTATCGCTGCAATTGACCTCCTAAAGAAGAGGACCAAAGAGGCAGAGTTCTACTCGATCAGGCTGCCGTTCTACAAAACATACTGGTGGACAATGAGATTTCCTTACCTATTCTTGAGAACCTCGATCTGGATGATGAGGCGAAGGAAAGGGCGGCCGCTGAGGAGTATCTTCTTAGAATCAACGACCAACATTGGGAGATTCTAGATTTAAATAATAAACTTAGTCAGTGTCTCCATAGGCTTAGGGTAATGGTATGTTCTGGCGTTATTAAGCCTTCCCGATTCAACCTTAAGGGGACAGATCTCAAGATTTAGGTATATATCAAGTGTATGTTGATACATTTTCCTAACCCCGCACTAAGTGTGAGGGCATTATATTTGCACCGAGCTGTATCAGCGTTAGTTATTTGTTTGCACTCGAGTACGTTTGTATAGCACTTGTTTGGCCGAATGTAAAGTACACAGCACAATTGAGGAATTGGATACAGATCCCTCGATTTAATAAAACCGCGATCTGCAGTAGGTTCGAGGAGAAATCCTCGGCTTAAGTGTCCGGATGTTGAATACACCGCTCAATTCGAGAATGGCCCTATAGAGGACGTCCATCTCGATGACTAGTCATAAAATAGTGTCAACACATGCAATGTATAGAGAAAATATGTAATGACTTTTATTAATAATTACCCGAGGACCCGGGTTAGCATTACATATAAATAAATGAAAGCAACAAATCACTCAGCAAATAATATAGCAAATAACACGTAGGGAATCTAAACATAGAACCTGCGTAGATTCTGAATGTTCCACCATCGAGGGAGAATGGTTCCCATGTCATCTGTCGTCTGCAATCGGTAACTGCCCGATGGAGAGACCTGAATGACTCGATAGGGCCCTTCCCAGTTGGTCGCCAATTTCCCAGGGGTTTCTGCTTGACTGGCTTCATTTTTTCTAAGTCCCCCGTTACAAAGTCAGTGCTCTTGACTCGTTTATTATAGTTTTTCCTGAGGATCTCTTTGTCTTGGCTTCCCGGACTTTTACGGCATCCCGCTGTTCTTCGAGCAGATCATGGTTAGTCAGGATATCTTCATTGTTGGTGTCTTCGACAAAATTGATCGTTCGAGGACTTGCAAGGCCGATTTCGACTGGGAGGACCGCATCCATTCCATAGACTAAACTGTATGGCATTTCGTCTGTCAAGGAAAGAGCTGTGGTGTGGTATGCCCATAAAACGTGAGAAAGTTCATTGACCCATGCTCCCTTGGCGTTGTACAGCCTTGTCTTGATTCAATGTAGAATGGTTCTATTGATTGACTCATCTTGACCATTTGCTTGTGGATGGGCAACAGCAGAGAATCGACGCTCGATTTGCATCTCCGCATATCATGACTTGAAGGGATCGCTCTCGAACTAGGTCCCACTGTCTGATACAATTATCTTGGGCACTCCAAACCGGCAAATTACGTTTTGCCAGAAAAAATTCAACACTTTCCTTCCTGATATCGAGGCCAACGGTTTCACCTCCACCCACTTGGTGAAATAATCGATGGCTACGATGACCCATCGCAGCCCTCCCGCCCCTTTTGGGAAAGGGCCAATGATGTCGGTGCCCCATTGGTAGAATGGCCAAGGACTTCGTATGGTTACCATTTCATGCTGTGGTTGTCGGGTGATTGGTGAAAATTTCTGACATCTATTGCACTTTTGCACGAATTGATAAGCATCCTTGAAAACTGTGGGCCATAAGTATCCTGCCCGAAGAACCTTTTTGGGCTAAGCTTCTTGCTCCCATCTGGGCTCCATACGATCCCTCGTGGACTTCCTCAAGAATATACACTGCCTGTTTTGGTCCAACACACCGTAGCATCGGCAACAAATACCCGTGCGTTTAGAGGACTCCATCTCTCAGAGTGTATTTCACTGCTTTCAGCTTCAACGCTTGAGCTTCGGACTTGTTATCGGGGAGCGTTGCATTTTCAAGGAAATGAATGGCGTCATCCACGTATTTTCATCCTCGGTGATAGCCAGGGAAACTCTGGGCTGGATGCTGGGTTTGGGGAGTATCTCAACCCAAACCTTGTGACTAAGATTAGCAAAGTTGGACGAAGTAAGCTGACTCAGTGCGTCGGCGCTTTTATTGCTGGTTCTGAGGATGTGGGAAATGGAGCATTCCTCAAACTTGTCTTTGATTTCGAGAACCTTCTCGAGATATGGTCGGAGATGTTCTTCGCGAATCGTGTAATCACCTTTGATTTGATTGACAACTACCTGGGAGTCGCTATAAACTTGTATGTTTTGAACTCCTAACTTGAGAGCCATATTCAATCCCGGGATCATTGCTTCGTACTCAGCGACATTATTGGTAACCGGGAAACCAAACCGTAAGGCGTAGGAGTATTCAGCATCGTATTCCTTGATTTCCTTGGTTCTTCGAGACACTGTTGGCTTTGCTAGGATGATACCCTCTCTTCTCCCGTCTTTGCATGAGGAGCCGTCGACGTAGAGAGTCCAGGCTCGAGGATCTATGGAGGGATGTTCCTGCAGTTGTTTCCTCGATGTTGACTCTTGTGTAATATCTGGAGTTCTGGGCATTTCAACCAAGAAATCTGCGAATGCCTGTCCTGTGCGGGGCTTGTACTCGATATGGTGTTCCCCCAGCTCGACTGCCCATTTCATCATTCTGCCTGAAGCCTCTGTTTGAGGAGGACTTGCTGGATAGGTTGTTTGATTAAGACCTGTATAGGGTGAGCCTGAAAGTAGGGACGCAATCGTCGGGCAACGAGCACAAGGCTTAATATCAGCTTTTCCATAGGGGTGTACCGAGATTCTGCCCCTTATAGGACTTTGCTTACAAAGTAAACGGGGAGCTCTTTACCGTCTTTTTTCTGAATGAGGACCGCAGATATAGCCGTTTCTCGAGCGGCTAAATAGATATATAGGACTTCTCTTGGCTGTGGTTTTGCCAGCATGGGGAGTTGCTTAAGATGTTCCTTTAACTCTTGGAAGGCTTTTTGACATTCTTTAGTCCATTGGAAACCTCTCCCTTTTTTTAGGGTCTTGAAGAAGGGAAGGCTTTTTTCAGCTGCTCGAGACAGAAACCTATTAAGCACTGCCAGAGATCCTATAAGTTTCTATACTTCCTTGACGGATTCCGTCTTTTGATACTTGGAATCCGAGGAATTTCCCAGAGCCCACACAGAAGGCGCAGTTCTTCGGGTTGAGTTTCATGTTATTCCTCGAAGAATTGTGAAGATCTCTTTCATGTCCTCGACCACCCTACGGTTCAAGTTGCTCTTGATGACCATGTCATCCACATAGATCTCAATGTTCCTTTCGATCTGATTGTGGAAAGTTCTATTAACCAAGCGCTGGTAGGTGGCTCCAGCATTTTTCAACCCAAACGGCATTTTGTCATAACAGTACACTCCAATCTCCGTGATGTAAGCCATTTTCTCTGCGTTTTCCTGAGCCATATGAATCTGATGGTATCCTTTATATGCGTCGAGAAAGCTAAGGGTTTTGTAACTAGTAGTACCTTCCACCATTTGATCGATTACAGGCAAAGGGTAGCAATCATTGGGGCAATATTTATTTAGATCTGTGTAGTCTTGACACATGCGCCAGGAATTATCAGGTTTGCAAACAAGAACCGGGTTAGCCAACCACGTGGGCCAGAACACTTCTTTGAGGATATTAGCTCGAACCAGTTTGAGGGTTTCCTCATTAATTACATCGTTGCGATCTTGAGCAAAAACCCTTTTCTTCTGTTTAACTGGCTTGACGTTGGGGTCTACATTTAACTTGTGCTCAATGATGTGTCAAGGAACTCCAGTCATATCAGATGGTGACCACGCGAAAATGTCTCGGAAGCAAGGCAATTACCTCGGTCCGCAACGTTCCTTCGATGGATATACCAAGTTTGATGGTTTTTTATGGCTCTCTTTCATCTAGGACTAACTCTTCCGTCTTGCTGCTGAGTGGAGGGTTCCGAGGCTGATCGAGATCCATGTCTTGGGTTTCTTGCTTTCCCTCTTTATACTTAGCCGATGATACTCCTTGCTGGATCGAATAACGTCCTGATGTGGTGATAGCTAGCTCCAGCTTTACTGTTTTCTTCCCGATAGTTACTACTGTGAGAAGACATTCTCGAGAACTGTGTTGGCACCCTTGTACTATTCCTATCCCAAACTCCGTTGGAAATTTCATAACTAAGTGGTAGGGTGACCTGACAGGGCGGGCTTGGCACATCCATGGCCGTCCTAGAATCACTTAAAACGGCGAGGGAGCATCGATTATGGCAAAATCTATTGTTAGATTTACCATTCGAGGATAAGTCCCTACCGTGATTGGAAGCCTAACGATTCTACTTGAGATTATCGTGTGCCCGGAGAAGCCCATCAATGGTAAGGTTACGTCCGGATTTTTTATGTTCATTCTCTTGAAACAGTCAGTGTATATGATGTCGACCGCGCTGGCATTGTCGACCGCGCTGCCATTGTCGACATATATGCGGCTTACCCCCACGTTTCCTATGATGGCGTCGATGACCATGGCATCGCTATGGGAGTAGACTCCAAGAACGACGTCGCTGTTGGTGAAGACTATTACCTCCGTTCCTTTAAACCGCTTGTGACTTGGTTCCTGTGGTGGAGTTTATGTTCCTTCTCAGACTGAAGCTTTCATTGCTGTGGTTGACAGAACCTCGAGGGCTGCCCCATAAATTGCTCCGACATTGTGTGTAATCTGCTTAGCGGGATCTGGAGGAGGAACCTGCTGGATTGGTTGTGGTCTGTTATCGAGAGTTTGCTAGACAGGTTGCTGTGAGTTGTCTCTCGACTGCCAATTATTCCCTCGGTTATGCCTCCAGGAACCACGATTGTTGTTTTGCTTAGGGAAGTTACGTGGGAAAGCGGATCTTTCTCGAGGACCGCGAGTGTCTCCTTGAGCGTTGCCTTGTGTATTCTACACATACTGTTGAAATTTTCCAGACTTCACTCCTGCTTCAATTTCCCGCTTGAGTTCCCGACAATCTTCAGTATCATGCCCATGGTCCTTGTGGTACTCGCAATACTGATCTGTGGACCTATTCGGATTATGAGCCAGTGGCATCGGGACCGGGAACTTGTCTTTGTGGATTTGGAGTATTTCTCTGCGAGGTTTTATCAACAGGGTGAGTAGTCTGTCGAGTCTAGGCAGGGATGGTTTACT